TGGAAGAATTCACTTATTCTTATAAACAGTAAAATTCATCGCATGAATTCAATTATTTACAAAACAATTTTTATAAAATCACGAAAAGATTCAATTCTTTGAAAAAAATTTTTAATAAAATCCTTGTTAAGAATTACATTATTTTCAATAATTTTAATAACATTCTTTCGAGGAATGAAGAATTTGATTCTTTTTATAAATAACCCAGGCGCGAAAGACCAATGCTGACGATGGATTGAAGATTTATTGAGCCTTGAACGCCCAGCCTGGGTAACCCAGTGTTGAAGCAGTCTTTATACCACTGTCACTCAATGTTGATTCAGCATTGGACACCAATGTTCGTTCCATGCTCGATTCAAGACTCGGTCAATCTTCGTGAGTGAAGCTCGAACATCTGATCTTAATTCAAGCCTGAATCAATCTTGACAGTTTATTTATTGACGTGTGCACTTAAAAATATTAAATATAAATATTTATAATTTATAAATTAATTAATATTAAAATATTTTTTATGATAATTTTGTATACTATTTAAAAATTATTATTAATTATTATTATCAAGATATCAATTGGTAAATAAATATTAATATTTATTTAGTGTATAATATTTATATTAATTATTAATTTATTAATAATAATAATAATAATAATAATAATAATAATAATAATAATAATAATAATAATAATAATAATAATAATTATTATTATTATTATTATTAGGTATTATTATTATTATTATTATTATTATAAGAATAATAATAATAATTATTATTATATTATTTATTATTAGATATTATTAATTATATAAGATTCATATAAATAAAGTTAAATTATATATTATTTTTTTTCTTGCTCAGTGTCAAATTATTGTTTTCAAAGTCCAAGAGTTTCGTTTGTCTGAAAAATTTTCAGTAAAAAAATGTTCATTAGTGTGTAATAAATATTTATGCCTAGTAGTTGTACACTAGGATCAACTGTTTAGTAAATATTATCAAAAAACTATTTTTTGTCAAACGCGTGCGACTAAATGCAAATAACCTTGAGACTTTAGCATTGCCAACTCAAGAGTTGAGTTGGTAATGCTGGAGTTTCAAGGTTATTTGTGTTTAGCTGCGCGTGTTTGCTAAAAAATATTTTTTTGATAATATTTACTAAACAGTTAATCCTAGTGTAAAAACTACTAAGCATAAATATTTATCACTACCTAATGAACATTTTTTTCACTAATAATTTTTCAGATAAACAGTCATAATTTTTCAAAGATAAATATCTTTGAAAATAATAATTTGACACTGTACAAGAAAAAAATAATATATATAATTTAACTTATAAAATTATCATAAAAAATATTTTAATATTAAATAATTTATAAATATTTATATTTAATATTGTTCAGTGCACACGGTAATAAAGAAAGTGAATACTGTATCAAGATTGACCGAGTCTTGAATCGAGCATGGGACGAACATTGGTGTCCCATGCTCAACAAATATTGAGTGACGCGCCGTATATACAGAATATACGGCGCTGGCATTGAAATAGTAGATTAGGCGAGGTGCCTTCCAGCCTTCTGTGGCCGAGCGGTTTAAATGCGTGCGTTGAGAACTTCCGGTATGCGTTAGGGGCGGGGTACGTGAGTTTCGATCCCACATGCGAGCGAATATTTTTCATTCTTTGTTTTAAGCGTTTATATATAATAATAAACTTGTGTGTTGTGTTGTGAAAAAAAAATGTGAATATGTTTGTAAATAATATTAAAAAGTCTGCTGAAAAATCGAGAAAAAAATGTACCGATTAACAGAAAAATTGTTTTCTTTTACTAAAATTATTTTTTTAATATTACTATTTTAAATGACATTTACTGTTAGTAATATATTATTTATATGAAAATAATATAATTATTATAATAGTAACTTAATGCCATTAAATTAACAAACGCATATAATATGAATAAAAATAATAACAATAATATTCATTACTATTATAATAATAATTATTATTATTATTATTATTAATATTATTATTAATATTATATACAATTCATATATTCGTATTATATTGAATGGGCGCGAGAGACGCGTAAATTTGGGAACAGTGGAAGCAGCCTTGTTTCAGTCCTGCATTAGGGTTCCGCAGCATTGATTGAACATTGAACGCGAATCTTCAACAAGGACTGGAGCGTCAGTCTTAAATAAGTGTTACATTATAGCTAGAAACAACCTTCGTTCCGCCGTCCCACCAAGGCTTGATCAATGTTGACCAAGCCTCAACGAAGGTTCCGTAAAGCCTGAATCCACCGTCAGTTCTCACCTGGGTAATATTTTTTGCGAGAATTCAATTTCAATATCTAGAATTTTAATTAAATTTTCTCGAAAGAATTCAGTTATTTAAAAAAATTTTTTGATAAAATTCTTCAAATGACTTTGATTATTTTCAAATTTTAGGAAAAAAACTTTGCAGGAAAGTTTCAGTGGATTAATTTTAAAATTCAAAACATTGAAAAAGAAAATTTATTAAAAAAGTTTAGAATTAAAAACTAACTTAACTGCGAACAAATTCAAACAGAACAATATTAATTTATTTAAAATTTTTTGTGAACATTGATTTCATTTATCATAGTTTAGAAAAAATTATAACCAAAATCTGAGGGAATTTTTTTTTGACTGGTTTAAAGATTTCTGAAGGTAAATAAGAAATTTTTTTTTTAATATATATTTAATTAATTATTAAAAGTAATGAATTTATAGAAGAATTTTAGTTAGAAACACTAAAAAAAAACTGAATTTTAAAGAAGTTACAAATAATTAGAGAAATTAAATTATTTTCAAAAGTAATAAAATTCTATACACAAAAATTCAATTATTCTTTTTTAAATTCTCGTAAAAATTTTAATTATCTTCATAAATAATGACGTTCTTCTTCAAAGTTCAATTATTTTCAAAAATTTTAATAAAATTTCAATTATTTTCTAAAATTTTCCAAAAGAATTCAATTATTTCAACAAAAAAAAAATTTATGATAAAATTTTACGCAAACATTTAATTATTTTTATAAATAATAAAACTCATAGTGAAATTTTAATTATTTTTAATACAACATTTCAAACCAATTCCTGCCAAAAATGAAATTTTCTTCTAAAAAATTTTATTAAAATTCGTCAAAAAAATTGAATTTTTAAAAAATTTGATGATAAAATTCTTTATGAGACTTAAATGTTAAGAAAAGTTTAATTATTCAAAAAATTATTTTTCTCATCTATTTAAATACCTAATTAAATTCTCGTAGAATTTTCTAATAAAAATTGATTTAAAAATTAATTTCAATTAAAATTTTAGATAAAATAATTAAATCTATAAAAAGCATTATAGCCTCAATTTTTAGAAATAATTGAATTTTGAAAAGGTTTCAAATGAAAATCTTTGAAAATATGAATTTTTCATATTTTTAACTAACAATTCTGAAGGATTAATTTTTTAGAATAAAAGTTTAATTATGAATTTATTTTAAAATTATTTTAAATTCTCAAAGAACAATAATGGCATAATTTTCAGTTAGAAGATTTTATTAAATTTTTTTGAAAATAATTGGATTTCTGCGAAGAAATTTATTATTTATGATAAAAATTGAATTCTTACGAACAATTTTATCAGAATTTTTTTTAATAATTGAATTTCTAAGAAAAAATGTATTACTTTTAAAAATAAATGAATTCTTGTGATGAATATTGTTATTTATGAAAATAATTGAATTATGCAAAGAATTTTATTGAAATGTCTCGAATTAATTGAATTTTCGGGAATAATTTTGTTATTCATCTATAATAATTGTATTCTTTCGAAGAATTATTCATGTAAATAATTGAATTCTTGGAAAGGAATTTTATTAAAATCCTAAAAAATAATTGGATTATTTCAAAAAATTAGAATTAAAATTGTATTTAAAATAATTGATTTCTTTCGAACAATTTTTTAAAAATATTTGAAAATAATTAAAATTCTTGTGAAAAATTCTACTACTTTTGAAAATAATTGAATTCTTCCAAAGAATGAAAAAAAAACATTTTTTTAAATAAGTGATTTTTCCGTGGAATTGAAATTAAATTTTTAATAATAATTACGTTTCTCGAGCAATTCCTGTAAAATGGTATTAAAATAATTGAAATCCTACGATGAATTTTATTATTTATGAAAATAATTGAATAGTTGCTAAGATTTTTTATTAAAATTTTCAAAAATAATTGAATTCCTGAGAAGAATTTTATTATTTTTGAAAATAATTGAATTATTGCGAAAAATGTTATTAAAATATTTATGAAATATTTAAAAAGAATTGAATTTCTGTGAAAAGTTTTGTTACCTGTGAAAGTAATTGAATTCTTCATAAAAGAATTTTTTAAACATTGCTTCAAATAATTAATTTTTTCGAAATATAATAAATGTTATGAAAATTTTATTTTAAACAATTGAATTCCTGTGGAAAATTTTATTTGTAAAAATAATTGAATTTTTCGATTAATTAATTTAAAATAATTGAAATTCTTCAATGAGTTTTATTATTTTTGAAAATAATTGAATTCTTGTTTATAGAATTTTATCAAAAATTTTTTTAAAAAATTGAATTTCCATGAAAAGTGTTATTATTAGTGAATGTAATTGAATTAATCTGAAAAATTGTTTAAAAATTTTGTTAAATAATTGATTTTTTCGAAATTTTTTTCTATTCTAAATTAATCGATTTTTTTTTTCTTTAAAAATTGTATCGATGAAAAGAGACTAGGAAGTTTCAACAACTATTTGAACAATTGTTATACTCAAAATTTACGTCGTTATAGTTCATTGCTAATATTGATTAAAATGTGAAAGATAATTGACAATAACTGCGGATAACAATAATACAATATTTGTGTTCCTAAAATTTGAATTTTTTTTCCCTATACTATTGACATTTCCATATTCATGTATATATCATATTTATACATACATTTAATTTTAATCGCATATTTCTTTAAACACTCCTCGTTATTCTCTATAGAATTACATCAGCTTTCATAAAGTGAAGAAAATTCTAAAAGCGATCGAAAAAAATTTTCTACGTTTTTAAAATTTAAAAGTGTCAACTCAGCAGTAATAATGTTGAAAACTATATTTTCCAACAAACTAAAGATTTTTATTATCTCTTTCTTGTTGCATTCATTTGTCAGCATTGAAAGTATTCCAGTGAAAGCAAAAACAACGTCAGATGATTTATTTTATCCAATGGAGGAATTTAACGATACATCCTCAAGAACAAGGAGAGAATCAAATGTTACATTTAAGAGAATATTCCCATCAAGAATAGCAGCTGAAAGTAAGTCTTACAATTTTTATTAGCAAATATAGAAAAAAAATATCTTTAAAAATAAAAATTGAATATCATTTTGCAATTAAATTAAAACATTTATTTAAATTTCTTGTAAGTAAAAATTTAAGTTCTACTTTTAAATTTCAGGAACGTGCAAAAATAGTAAAGTTGAAGAAATTACCAGACCTATCTTTTGTTTAAATTTAACTGACATTAGTAAAAATTGGGACACATATTGTGCAGAAACACTTTATCAATGTTTAATTTAAATTTTTTTAATTTCTATTTTATAGAAATTTTATCCTAATAGTATAGTAATACTCTGTAATAATAAAAATATATTTATCAACTTCCACAAAAAAAAAAACAAATGGACGTTATGAAAAATTCTACAATTTTATTTAATGTATTATATCAACAAAAGGTGAATGTAAATAATAAATGACATTATTAATAAAATAAATATCTTTTGAGAATTTTTTTTAACTAAAAATTAATTATTTTAAATAACCTTTAATAATTTCCTTAAAATATAATTATTATTGTAAGTATTAAAATTATAATAAAAATATTAAAATACACAGTGGGGAAAAAAAATTAATTTAAAAAACAGATAAAAATTTAGGTATTCATTACTGATAATACGGTATCCAGACATTTATTTAATAAATATTGTATTTTGACTCATTTTAATAACAGTTGTTTAAATTTATAGGCGAGAATTTTGATGAAAGGAAAAAACTTTAATTCAAATTTTTACTTTTAAATAAAAATTCTTTGACGATCCTCAAAGCTTTTTTTTGTATAGGTACATATTTAAACTAGGAGGATATTTGGATAAAATTGTGTTTTTTTTAATAAAAATTTATAAATTATATTTTGTCAAAAAATAAAAAATAAAAAAAAAAAAAAAAAAAAAAATTTGTTCTTCTTTGATTGAATGTTTTAATAAAAATTCCTTAAAATTTGTTTTGCAAAATTAAATCACGGAGAAGACATTAATAAAATGTAAAACAAAAATTTCTTTTCAAATGTTAATTCTTTCTTTGAAAGGAAAAAAAGTCTAACAAAATGGTACATTTTAAAATAAATTGTTCAAGAAATATTTTTTTTTTTTTTTGAGAACGAAGAAAACTTTTGATTAAATTATCAGTATTGATAAAAATTTATGTAACTATTAAAAAAAGAAAATATTATAAAAAAAAAATTTTTTTTTTTTTTTAGAATTTTTTTTTTTTATAATATTATAAAAAAATTGATAAAAAATTGTTATGTAATTAAAAATTTTGTATAAAAATTATTTTTTATGTACTGAAAACTTGACGACCAAAAAAAAAAAAACTCGTTTTGGGCACTTCACAAAACTGACAAAAATTCCATTTTATTTTATTTTCCTAATGATTTTTTCCTAATTTTCGCCAAAAATATAATTACTTCTTTCTTATCCTGGTAATAAATTTAATTCCTACAACGAATTTTATTATTCATGAGAGAATTTAAATATTTATAAAAATAATTCAATTCTTGCGAAGAATTTTATAAAAATTTTTTAAATAATTTATTTCTTTCGACTAATTTCATGCAAATTCTAATTATTTAAGTAATTCAATTCCTGAGAAATTTTTATTATTCATGAAAAGAATTGAATTCTTAGGAAGAATTAAAAAAAAAATTTTTTAAATAATTGAATTCTGTTTGGAAATTTTATGAAAATAGTAAATATTGAAAATCATTGAATTGCGAAAAGTTTTTAAAAATAATTAAATTTTATAAAGAATTCTATTATATATATATAGTTTATTTACTCTCCCTACAATAGGTAGGGTTCGAGACTCCCAAGTACATACATAACAATCTTAACCTATATTTACAAAAATCCTTACAACTAAACATTCTCTTCATACAACTTAACCTAAAAAACGCAACTCTCTCCACGCTCTCTACCTTACGCATACGCTCTTAACCTATCGCCAGTGCCGGGCTTCCGTTTCCAGTTCCTTCTATGCCCATGCTGGCTTCAACCCAATTCGCCCACCCTTTTTTCAAAAACCTGCTTTCTCACCTCCCTTACACGCTCCAGTCATCCACTTTTATCCATCCATCCATCCATCCAAGCAAAATCTTCTCACCTCATTCTCAGCCTATACCTGTCTATCACACTTTACACACTTCCATCACTCCACCCATATCCTCCCCCACAACATACTTTACCCCATCCACCCAAATACAATCCTTACCCATTCTTACCTGTTTTCCTTTCACTCTCTCCGTCCACGCTGTTTCTCTCAATAGCCATAGCATTCTTCTCTCTCTCCAACATCTATCCTCATCTATTCTTATTACACTTCCTTTCAGTCTTCCTTTCACCCTCATTACATCCATTTTCTCTTCCTCACTACCCAACTCCACCAACCATAACTTTGGTACCCCATATTCACCCTTTCCTAACGCTTGTACCATTTTCACTGAGACATTAACCCCCACCCACGCCAACACTTTTTCCACTGCTCTTTTACCCTCCAACACACCTACATTCATACCTCTGATCACTACATTCTTTTTCCTTTTTTCATTTTCTACTACATCCACTCGTCTTGACAAATCTCCCATTTTCCACTTTAACCTCTCATATTCACTTCCCTCAACTTTCTCAGTCCCCTCATTCACTTCCTTTATAAATTTTTCTAATCCATTCATTCTTCTCCACATGCTTTCCTTATCCTTTTTCCACTTACTATCCCATTCATTCCACATTTCCTGCAATTTCTCCAACCTCTCTTCAATTTCCACTATCTCTTTGTCCCTTGATTCCCCATCCTCACATATATCCATCAAATTTTCCCTTACTCTCTTCGCTCCTTCATCCATCGCGTCCTTCATCATCCATACTAATTCTAACAAATCCATGCAATCCTCACACGTCATCTTTTTTCCATTCTTTCCTATTCCCCTTTCAAATACCCGCGCCTTTTTCTCATTCTCGCTAACACTACTTGAGTCAAACTCAGCCATTCCAGAAATCTACCTTATCACTCAAATGCTCAAAATTTTTCCACTGTCTCTCTCTCCTCTCTCTCACTTCAAGCAACCTAACCTCACAAAACACACTTCTCTTTTTTACCTTTTTTATCACTCACACATTCACTACTCTATACCAACATACCTTTCCTTTACACTACCGCAAATTACACTACACACTCAGCACTCTACATTACCCACCCTTTTTTAAAACCTTTATATTTCTCAAAAAAACTCTTAACTCTTTCCAAACGCGTGTACACCGAAACGGTACCGGAAACGGAAGCCTAAAGAATTCTATTAAAATTTTTGCGAATAATTATATGTCTAGCGTTTCATTAAAATTTTTTGAAAATAATTGAATTACTAAAATCATTTTATTATTTATGAAAATAATTGAATTCCTGCGAAAGATTTTATTGGAATTTTTTTAAATAATTGAATTTCCAAAAAGAAATTTATTACTTTTAAAAATAATTGAATTCTTGTGATGAATATTGTTATTTATGAAAATAATTGAATTTTGCACATAATTTTATTAAAATGCCTGCTCGAAATAATTGAATTTTCAGAAATAATTTTGTTATTTATCTTTAATAATTCAATTCTTTTGAAGAATTATTCATGTAAATAATGGAATTCTTGGGAAGAATTTTATTTAAATATTTGAAAATAATTGAATTCCGTTGAAAAATTTTATTTTGTAAAAATAATTAAATTTTTCGATGAGTTAATTTAAAATAGTATTAAAAATAATTGAAATTCTTCGTTGAGTTTTATTATTTATGAAAATAATTAAATTCTTGCTTTGAATTTTATGCAAATTTTTTTTTAAAATTGTTTTTTTTTTTTGTGAAAAATATTATTATTAGTGAATGTAATTGAATTATTGTAAAGAATTGTATGAAAATTTTATTAAATAATTAATTTTTTCGAAATTTGTTTGAAAAAGCTTTTCTAAATTAATTGAATTCCTGTGGAAATTTTATTATTTATGAAAATAATTGGATTTTGGATGATTTTTATTAATTTTTTTTTAAATAATTGAATTTCAAATATTTTTTGAAAATAATTGAAATGGAATAAATTTTTTGACTTCTAGTATTGCGTTGAAAAAAATATTTTTAAAAATTTTCCTTTTTTATAAAATTTTTGAGTAAAAGAAGAGAATTTCAACTGCATTAATAAATCTTTTTAGCGTTTTATACACATAAGTGGTTTTTAAAATTATCGAAAGAATATGTATTTACTGAATACTGACCCCTTATCAATAACCATTTATATTTGTCACGTCGAGATTTCAGATCCCTATATAAGTATAGGATCCCGACAATCTTATATAGTCCATTGGTCAATAAAATCTTAATATAATATTCTTTCACTAACAAAAAGTTCAATATAATATTGAATTCTTAATTCATTTAGAAAATCAAAATGAAATTTTTTCTCCTTTGTTTTCTACTATATTTATTTGTTTCGATTCAAGTAACTACAGCTCGAGAAGTAAATACCATTGCACGTTACTAAGTAGTGAATAAGTAGCCATCGAAAAATTAAACTTGACAACTCAATTTTCTTATAATTTCTCAATAACATTCAAAAATAGAATAATTTTTTTAAAATAAATATTGAAATACCTATTTATTTTACCTACAGAAATTAAAATATATTTCAAATGATTTCAATCATTTTTTTTTCTTGAAATTTGTAAATAAAATTATTCAAAACTTTAATCATTTTATTAAATTCTAAATAAATTTCTATTAGAAAGTTCTACGAGAATTTAATTATTTAAATACAAAAATAAATGATTGAATATTTCTTAAATTTGAATTCTCATAGAGAACTTTATTAAAAAATTTTAAAATAATTGAATTTTTACGAAGAATTGCATTAAAATTTTTTATTATAATTGAATTCATTCAAGATTTAAAATGATTTTAAAAATAATTATTACACTTTAAAAAACAAATTATATCAAATTTTTTTTAAATAATTGAATTTTTTCGAAGTATGTATGAAGTATGTCATTTTTTTAATTTGAATCGTACAGGGACAAAAATTACTTAAGTTTGAGGTGGAAATTGGATTTTATACAGGGGCGGATCCAGACAAGGTTCTTGGGGGGGGCCATCTGCTAGACGCTAGCTTGATGACCTTTTATGAATGAAATTTTTATTAAAAAAATTCCAGGAAGTTTGAATTCTCAGGGGGGGGGCATGCCGCTGTGGCCCCCCCCTGGATCCGCGCCTGATTTTATATTAAAAAAAAAACTAAACAATAGTGGTCAATAAAATATTTAATTTTTAATGTTTACATTTCTAAAAAGTACATAAATTTTTATTTTAGATTCTTGTGCAATGTTCCTGTTTTCTATGATCTACGTAATGTTTTAC